CCCCAAAACCCCAAAACCCCAAAACCCCAAAACCCCATTTAAAGCATTTTGGGTTGAAATGAATTCATTCAAAACGACTCAAACACTAAAACTGCAAAATATGTCGAGCAGAGAAATGCAAAAACAGTGACCAACCATTGTGGCATAGACAATGATAGGTCTATAAAGTTTAGTAAATCATGCTATCACTTTCAATCTAAGACTGGTTTTGCTCATTTGCTGCAAAATCAAGGTCATACTGGCCTACTTAGAACCCGGCATGTACATATTTCAAACAAGGCTGGCAACCCAAAAATATTGGAACCATAAACCAGGCTGAGACTTCAGGTTATGAAGGACTTCCCATATTCTGTGGTGCATATGTCAATGGTTTGAACATATTCGTAATTATATTGATTTTTTCAAGCTGAATTGGCTTACTGCAGCTTCTTATAATAGTACGAGAGTTTGAATTATTGCTGAGCAAGACCAAAATCTCGGATGCACAGAATAATTATTTTTGCAAAGGAAATCGCTATTTTTAATCCCAAATTAAAGGATAGGAAAGCCAGAAGTAAGAAAAGGGATAGAATTAGTATTTAGAAGGATTTTGAAAAATTAGTATGTCTAGCAAGGTGACTTGATAAAAGTCTTATAGAAATTTTTTATCTAAGTCTTTGTGGAATTTTTCTATTACTCCTATCGGTTTTATTAGGACTTAAACGAAATTACTCATAAGTTTATAACCACAGGTATATGGAGATTAGGGTTTCGAATCTGTTGAGAAGAGGCCTAATTTAGCAATGATACTAGTCACAAAATATAAATAACTCGACAAAGAAATGAATAGAGAGTAATTAAGGAAGAATATTAGAACCAGACATATAGTCACCAATCTCTAGTTGTGACGAGCCCTAGATGTTTTAATATTTATATCAAAGTATTTTTTGATGTTTATAAAAAGCTGAACATCTTTAATTTCACTTAATAAATTTTTTAACATAGTAATTTTTGAAAGTAAAGAAATCTTCTTCCGATTTCTGACAACATCTGTAAACTTATCAAAGAGATGCTATATTGATTTACCCATAATCTTCTTTCCCTATTGCCCCTATTGCAATATAATCAGATATCTCCAAAAATAGTAATCACCGCCTCCAAAACCTTACTAATTAAAATAGGCCTTGTTCTAAGATTTTTACCATTTTTTATGGTGTCTTTCAGATGACCATAGACATATTAAGCTATAAATTCCCATTGTTTAAATAAGTACTGGTAAACTGTCTAAAACTGATGCGTGTTTGTTGCATTGGGAAATAAGACATACCTAGGTTTTATATAACAAAGTAAAGATAGGAAACCCAAAAGATGACCTGCACATTTTCTTATGCTTAAGGAAAGATTTGTGACAAAGTTATGAATAATAATAAGTAATAGATTTAGAGAAACTCCAAGTCATATTCTGAGTTATGAACTCTTATAACATTTCGTTCCTTTTAGTTTTTGTTGTAATTTTCTGAGTATGTTAACCGATGTCTCGTTCTTACTAAGAGAAAGTGTGGGTAAGTTCTGGTGAGTCTTTCTTTGATTCTTAGATTTTCTTTCAGTTAACCCAAAGTAAGGACAGAGTTTATCACCATTACTTTCAGGAGTAATCAGGTCGACTTGGTGATCAAAGCTCTTTGCACATTCATCAAGAAATTTCTTTCTAAGAGGTTGGGAAGGAGAGTAATTACTCTCTTCAATGTGATTGATCTTTGCGTTCTCTGAATCTACTATGGAACAGTCGCATTCTTCCTCAAGCTCCTTTAATAAGGCTGATCTATCTCTAAAATTCATTGGGATTGGAATATTTTATTATTTAAGTGAGAAATTATATTAGTTGGGGTTTTGGGGTTTTGGGGTTTTGGGGTTTTGGGG